CTATATGTCGATGACATATTACTCATAGGAAACGACATCCCGACTCTGCAGGAGGTTAAGTCCTGGCTCGGGAAGTGCTTCGCTATGAAGGACCTCGGAGAGGCTTCTTACATTTTGGGAATAAGGATAGTAAGAGAAAGAAGTAAGAGACTAATTGGACTTAGTCAGAATACTTACTTGGAGAAGGTACTAAAACGTTTTAGTATGGAAAACTCAAAGAAGGGAGAACTACCGATACAAGGAAATGCCAAGTTGAGTAAGACTCAAAGTCCGAGTACCGAAGCCGAGATAGCAGAAATGAGCCGAGTACCATACGCTTCCGCAGTTGGCTCAATCATGTACGCTATGACTTGTACTCGCCCTGATGTAGCCTTCGCTTTGAGCATGGTTAGCAGATATCAAGGGAACCCTGGCAAAGCACATTGGATTGCGGTGAAGAACATCCTTAAGTACCTTCGGAGACGAAAGAATGGTTCTTAGTCCTTGGAGGGAGTGATGACTTGAAGGTGCGAGGGTATAGTGACGCCAGCTTTCAAACCGACAGGGACAACTATCGTTCGCAGTCGGGCTGGGTCTTTACCCTAAATGGAGGAGCAGTGACATGGAAAAGTTCCAAGCAGGAAACCGTAGCTGATTCAACGTGCGAATCAGAGTACATCGCAGCGAGCGAAGCGTCGAAGGAGGCAATATGGCTGAAGAACTTCATCGGTGATCTTGGAGTTGTACCGGCCATAAAGGAGCCCATGGAGATTTTCTGTGATAACGAAGGTGCGGTTGCCTTGACCAAGGAACCGAGGGATCATGGTAGATCTCGACATATCGACAGAAAATATCACTTCATTAGACATCGTGTAGAAGAAGGACAACTCGTAGTGAAGAGGATATCATCAGAAGATAACCCAGCAGATCCGCTTACGAAGGGACTGAGTAGGGTTAAGCACTTACAGCATGCTAGGAGTATTGGGCTGAAGGATGATATTAGCATAGATTAGATAGTATTAGAAACGTATAATAGATAAATGTAATTAACATTTGATGATTAAATAAAGAAGTTTTATTTATGAGTAAAGTTACTATCACATGTTAGTTGTTTAACTATTGTTTCACTTTGCATGTTTTGACTTCCAGAATAATTGAGTTTATTAGGAATAATCGAATTATTCAAATGGTCCACAATCGTTCATATGTTGGGAGTAGATATGAATGAAGATTGTCGTGAATTGGTGTGTAGAGTGTCTAAATGGTGTTAGACATAGCAAGAGTTGCTGCAACGTTCATGAGTGCTTATGAACTGGTTTTGAGCATTGGAATAAACCCGCGCTTGCTGGAATCACCTTATGGAATACGATATAAAAGGTGATCGCAAGACGATAATATCATATGGTCTTAAAACCTAGATATATGGTTTATTATTTGTTAATTGATTGTGCATTGATAATGCGAAAACGCATCAGTAACTTGATGTTATAAAACGCATTGTTGTGTATAGTTGGTTAATGAATAAGTAAATGCATATAAGTCGAAGTTTATCTGTAAATTTTATCCTAAGAGGGTAGAAGAGATATCTTGGCCACTCGATGATTTGATTTGACTTATGTGCCGGGCCCGGTCAGAACTGAATTGATGTGTTCGATTAAGTTCTATGTCAAATAAATCGAAGATCGAGAAATCTAAATGCTAGACTAACCATTCCATAGGATTGTCAGCATGATATCTAACAGAGGACTGTACGATCCCTTATCTAAAGGACAAGATTGATTAGATCAGAGTTGACAGCGTCTTTGAGAGCTACGATTGCAAACCGTATTATACTTGTATAGTTACTAGACTTATCCAAGTGGGAGACTGTTGGAATAGTGTCTAAGGCTATAACTATATTCGGTGGTGCATGGTCCTTTTGGGTTGCCTTCACCATAGCAACTTGAAGGATGATTTGTTAAGAGAGAGTAAATATTATAAGGAATAATATTTAGCTATTTGATTAATATAAGTCATAAATTAATTGGTATTAATTTGGTGACTTAAAGAGATTAATTAAATAAGAGGGTATAAACTGTCAATTGTTTGATAGTTAGACTTTAGACTATAAATCCATTAGGATGGACTTTGGACGGTTTCTAAGAGCTTTAGGATAGCTCAAAATCGTCCATAAGGATATCTATGGAATGGATTTGGATAGCCTTAAGTGAAGATTATCCAATTAGGGTTTAGGGTGAAACCCTTAAGGAGTCTAAAGGTATAAATAGGCCCTTGGGATGTGGAATTCGTGTACAACCTTTCAGAACCTAAAGCAAGGAACCTCTGGTCGAATTCCATCCCCTCTCCTTTCTCCTAAATCATCTTGCTTGCTATTGGTGTTTGTAAGCCATTAGAGGAGTGACAATTGTGACTCTAGAAGCTCCAAGACAAGAAGATCAACAAGGAACTCAAAGGTATGATTCTAGATCTGTTTTAATGTTGTTGTTTAACCTAATTAGCCATTAGAAGTCTTGGATTCAAAAGCATGTTTATTAGAAAGCCTAGATCCAAGCAATAGGGTTTTGCATGCGCACATAGGAAAGTTCTTATGGCTAAAACCCAACAGTTTTTGCATCGATTGGGTTTATAAAAGAAAAAAGATTAAGAGGGTGTTTGAGATTGTGGTTTAAAAGTGCTTATTTGCTTATTGGTTTTTTGAAAAGCTAATAAGCTAAAAAAAGTGTTTGACAAACTCAAAAGCACTTTTCAGAATGATTTTTCCATAAGTTTCAATAAACACTTTTTAATAAGCATGAAAAACGTAGCTTTTTGAAACTGCTTATGGCTTTTCAACCAAAATAACTTCAAAAAGCACTTTTTAAACCAAACACTTTTTAACTTATTGACTTATTGATTTTTTCACTGTAAAAGTTTATCCAAACATTTTTTACCACCACTATAAGCAAATAAGCACTTTTATCTTAAAAAAGCACTCCCAAACACCCTCTAAATATCAAAATACTCACCATTGCTTTTAAGAAAAAATTAAAAAATGATTTGCTGATCTAATATCATAATATTGACTATTTCCACTGACCATTTCCACAAACTGAATATGATTGTCATATTTTATTGATCCACTATGATTGTCACATTTTATCTTATGTTGTTTCTTATATTTATCATTTATTAGATAATATATATAGTGAAATTTTTTATTTTTAATTTTTATAATATTATAATATTAATTTATAGCTCTTGAGACCACGATTATAAAAATAGTTAACTTTTTATAGTAAACTCATAGTTATTAATCAAATAACTTTAACAAATTATTAATTAAACATGATTTTGAAAGATTTTCAATATAAAAATACAATTAATTATCAGCAATCATAACCAAAACTAATTCGATACGAATTTAAATTTATCATAAAAATTAGGGATAAATAAATAACTGTCCAATTTATTATTACGATCAACATTTAAAAAAATAATAATACTAATGACAAATGACAAGTGTTATTTTAATAGAGCATTTAAAAAGCAAACGTAAATTATAAGAAAATAACAAATAATACTAATAACTATTTTTTATTATTATACAAATATTGATATATATATATATATATATATATATATATATATATATATATATATATTATATATATATATATATATATATATATATATATATATATATATATATATATATATATATATATATAGTCAAGATCAAATAAGAAGGAAAATTTTGGTAAGAAGGTAAGAAATATTTTATATGCATATTTTCATAACAAAAAATTGGAATGAATAATTAGATGATTCAAAAATAAGATGATTCATAATAAAAAAAATTCCGAAAAAAACACTTTTATGATTCACTTTTTGGTAATTAAAGAAAAAAATTCACTTTTATGACAATTTTAGTGAATATCAACAAAATCATCAAAAAAATGAATCATCGAAATGTTTTTTCGGGATTTTTTTGGTGAATCATGTTATTATTGATTCATTTAGTGATTCATTTGTTTTGTTAGCCAAAAAAATAAGTTGAAAATATATATATATATATATATATATATATATATATATATATATATATATAAGTTCAAATTAAGACAATAAATAAAGTGAGTACGTGAAGATACTACTTTTATGTTATTATTCTGACATAAAGCTTTTATATATTATCTTATATCTTTATTCGGTAATGAATATATGAATAATCATATTTTAATATTAACATTATAAAACTTACTATAAATAAATATATGAATATTCATACGCTAAATATTCACATTAGAATTACAACAACAGAACATATATTTAAAAATTTTAGCAAAATAATAATTTAAAAATATTGTATTCACGTCCTCACTTTATTTGTTGTCTTCATTTGAACTATATATATATATATATATATATGCTAGTTGTGAAGCCCATGTATTATATGGGTTCATTTAAAAAAATATATATAAAGATCTAAATATTTTACAACTTTGAATTTATATATATGCCAGTTGTAAGACCCATGTAATAAATGAGTTCATTTAAATATATATATATATATATATATATATATATATATATATATATATATATATATATTATAAAGATCTAAATATTTGACAACTTTGAATTTGTAAGAAAATAAAAAAAAATATTGAATTATAATAATAAAATTGTTTTTTATCTTTAAAATTTAAACAAATAATAATTTAAATAAAAAAAACCAATAAGCTTTAATTTTTAAAATTTGACATTATAAGAAAAATTCATTAATAAAATAGATATCAATTTACAACTGTATTTATTACAATTATTATCTTAAAATATAAATGAAATTTAATAAAATAGAAAAAAACTAAAAAAATAACATATAGAAATAAATTAATTCAAAATAAGTAACATTTGTAAATTAAATAATAATAATATGACAAGTGGCACCGAAAAAAAATATATATATATATATATATATATATATATATATATATATATATATATATATATATATATATATATATATATATATATATATATGATGCTAGTTTGTTGAAAAAAGCTAAAATTCAGATTTGAATAATAGCTATATTGTTTTTTAAAAGAAAAGGTGTGTTACCGATCATGATTCATTATAAACATAGTCAAATTCTAATTAAAATCATTGGTACCTTGCTCCAGGAAGATAAAGTATGAACAACAGTTGGATAGCAAGATCCATTTGCTCCTTTTGGATTTGAAATATCTTCTTTCCTTCCTCGAAACTGCCGCTGAATGCTGTTCTTGAAATGACATCTCCAGCAAAGTCATCGATGTAGGGCCAAACATCAACTTCCTCCATACCAGTTGACCCAGTGAGAAGCTCCCATTTCTTGATCATTTCACTACAGCTCGAACAAATTGCTGTGAACATACTCTATGCGCACCATTAAACCAAACAAATTGCTTTAGATTTTGAAGATAAAACATGATCAGTGTAATTAAAGTAAAGACGTCGACACTGACCTTCATACTTTCAACATTAAAAGCTGGACTGATTATTTGACGATGAGTTTCCCATTTATGACCCTCAGAGATTACAATTCCACCAACGATGCTATCCCGAAATGCCTCAGGATGCGGCTTCTGAAACTCGTCGGGTCTTGATAATATCTCCTTGATCAGTTCTGGATCCATGATAAAAATCCTCGGGTTTGGCCCGAACCATATATATGACTTTTTACCTGTGACGAATCTAGGCTTTTAGAACAAAAGATATCCTTTAATTATAAAAGTATTTGTGGAGAAAAATACCGTATTTGTTGAAGACATGGTGATCAAAAGGCATGACATGTGAAGAAATATCATGGGAGATGGGATGGATAGACTTTGATCTAGCTTCCTTCACCATTGTTGCAAGCTCTACGATGTCACCAATCAGGAACTTGTATGAATTACCTTTATACCCTTGTTTTCGCAACAACTTCTCTAGCTTCTTTGGCTTCAACCATGCCCAATATAGTACTTTCCATCCCCAGGTCACGATTATTGTTACAGCAAAGGCGATCAAAACTTTACCCACTGTTGCTACCATTTTTGGGGTGAAGATAAGATTATTACCACCGGTTGGCGTGTATATGAGATGATACTAAATTACATAAAGTATGCCCTGATCTATTTAACAACCAACAACATTAGTCTGGCATTTGTATTTCTTGGTCTTTTGGTCAAAAATCTCAACTATTTTATAAGATTGAATTATTGATGTCGTTCCATACGTCAAACCTGTAGTCGGGGTGGGTGTCTATTATTAGATCGTCAAGTACATACTCTACACACACTCATCAAAATCTCAATACACCGTTTTTCATAATTTTAAAGCCATTTAAATTAAGTAAATAAATAATCATTTTACCATCTCTTTATAATACAAACACACATTTTTTACAACATTAAAACCGGTTAATTTAAGTTTTACAATCTTTACATGTTTTAATGAAAAAATAACATAAAATAAATAAGCAAATTAACTATTTTATTAACATGAAAGAAAAAGATAATCATATTTGCTAACCATATTTATTTAACATACACCAACAAAGAATTTAAAAATAGAAACATATTATGCAAAGAAATATTATTATATAAGGGGTTATTTAATAGTTGTTAACTGAGTTGGAACTGACTGAGTTAACTTCTGATATAAATTTGTTGTTTGATTTTGCATTTGACTGATCGAACAAAATAACTATATTACCCTCAAACAATATTTTTTTATAATAAAACATTTATGCAATAATCTCCAACCACAATATATTATTAACTAACTCAATTTTTATAGTAATCTAAAAAACATGAATATTAAAAGAAAAAAATTAACATATCTCTTGATTGTCTTCACTTCTTACCAATTGAAAAAAAAATGTCTTTGCATTCATATGTACTAGGTTTGAACCATTATCATAGGTGGTTGCTATTTATCAAGATTGTTACAACAATCACATGAATAAAATATGAAATACAATGATCCTGGTTACAATTTATTAAAACAAATCATAAAACTACAAAAGAAAAAGCTTGAAATCAGGGAAAGGGGTTGTCACACTTGTAAAACACATAATTATGCTTCTCAAATAGCTAGAACTGTAATGTATCCAATTTTTTAACAACATATACACCAGTAAAATCCTGAAAATACACAAACAGTATGACATAAGTTCTTCAATTGATGGTAAACATTGATTAGTAACTCACTTGTTTAATTTTTGTTTAATTTTATTCTGCTCTAAAATTTTGTTTATGATAACAAGATAACAAACCTCTAGTGTTTCTTTAGGATAACAAGATAACAAACCTATGGTGTAACACGGTAAAGAAACAATCCAAATACAAAACCATAATCAAGAAATCAAATAGATAAATGATCTACAGATCTAGTAAGCATGATTAGTATAACTCCAAGTTTAAAGTAGCATAATACCAATATAAAATTGTAGATTTTGATCTAAATTAATGACAACACATCTGAAGGATCACTTTTCAAATCATTAGTTACTTGAATTTTATCTATTATTGTATGCCCTTTCTATCCCTAGCTTAAAAAGAATAAAAAAAAAACCCTCTATATCAGCCTATCAACAAAGAGCTTCTAGAGTAATTCAAGCACAAAGCTTAAGCGAATAGAGCTCAAGAACCCATAGTCAATTATTGAGCTTCTGATTTTATCACAACTAGCATTTGTGGCTAGGAAATTCTATATACGTGCAATCAACACTTGTGTAACTTGTAACTCTAAGTTGATGTTATGCACAATGCTCATTCAAAACTACTATTCGAATCAAAACTCACTCGCTAAGTCTAAAGCCTAATTCAATACATTTTCATACACTCAAATGTGGGTTGTAACCCTAATGTCCTGGTTCAAACTCGGAATGGACCAGGATCCTTTTATTGGGCTAATAAATTCTCAATTTAGTTATTTTGGGCCAAGGAACCCATTTGGGCTCTGGTTGAACCCACATTCATTAAATTATATCATGATGGGCGTTATTAGGCCTAGAATGTCTCACTTCATTTTCATGGGCCTTAATGGGTCGTAAACAATCTTCTTGAACCTCAATGGGCCGAAAACCCATTCTTTTTGTCATGTTGGGCCGTAGACTCATATGTGGGCCCACATAGATCAAAAATCCCTCAT